ACACATATACATGTGCCCATTGTCAAGACACAGTAAATAAGACTGGAAGCGGGAGCAGACGCTGATAGAACCGCCACGCCTGAGTCACATCGTACAATTTGGGATTGCCATTAAGGTCACAGGTGGCTGGTGCAGTGTAAACCTGCAGCGCCACGAACGCCCCACTCACATATTCGATATTTCTTATGGAAGCGCAACCTAAATAATGCCTACCGTCCCCTGACGTATCCCTACTTGGGCCAGCATATTTACCACGCACCCTTTCTAGGGACCACAGGCCTACATCCACACACAGCACTTACAACGAGCAATCCGGTCGGCTAGTATCCTCACGAGACGCGTCGTTAGCGTAGCACTATGGTTTCAAAGTGCGTCGGGCTGATTTTAGAGAGGAATCTGTTCAATTGCCGCTGGCATGGCTTCCTTCCCCATACACCTGTATACAGTCCGATCCGGTTAGTCAACATTTGAGTGCAAGGTTGAAAGGAGTGGACAAAATTAATTCCACCGAATGTCCATCCCAGATAGATGCGATGGCTTCGTGAGATTCGCGGAAAGGCTACGACATTTTTTGGATTTTGCGGAGATGAAAGTTCAAGATTTTGCTCTTACGGCTCTGTCGAGTGTAGGTGAGCAAATTCGAGAGAGGTAACTCCTTTGATGTTCCACTAAAATATTCTTCCGGTTCTTTGTAAATCGAGCGGATGTGCCTTGCAATCAGGGAAAATGTTTATCCACAAAGATTTGATGGCTACGGATCCCCTTGAATAGTCTTACCCTGACAGGCATCACATTCAAAGCAGTGTCGGAACTGTCTTTATAGCAGCCCAAAAGACTACATAATGCCATGATTGACTTGTTGATTATGCAAATATCCCCATGTTTAATTTGAAAAGTCAATTTGGCAGGCATATGTTTTCAGCAAATCTTCATTAGGCCAGTATATTTGCAGGGATAATGAAAATTGTACGGTTGGACAGGATTAATAAATGTACTTTGAGAAGACCTCATCGTTTTGACGCCCTCCGCATGATGAGATCAACGTGTAGAGGTCTGCGATCTTCCAAACCCGGTGCCCTAGGAGAAGAAATAAGTCTACGCAAGGCCAGATTTGTAGGAACAATGTATTCTGTACAGAAGAGCTGGAGAATAGTTAAGAGGAAGTTACCATTCGGTCTGGCATGGCATTTGACCGTGAGGTCCGGTGAAGACCGCGGGGTCTTCACAACGGCCAACGACGCACCCGGTTAGCGCTGGAATTGTCCCAAGGGCCCATGGTGGGCTTTGTGTGAGCTAGCCTCAGGACGATGATTGGCCCGACG